TCCCGGCCGAGTCCACCGGGAAAATCCCCGCGGCACCCGGACAACGGGACTCCCTCCAACCCCGGTGCCCGTAAGAGCCGTAGCCCGCGGAACACCGGTGGTCGCCCCCCGAACCAAGACATTGGTCTCGAGGGCCGTAGGTGGGTCCCCGATGCCCCTCCGGACAGATGTCCGGGGGACATCGGTTCCCCATCCTACTCTGGCCGCAGCTCGGCCAAGTGGGCTCTTAGTCAGCGGACGCCCAGCCCATGGAACCTCCGGAGCCTAAAGCGGCACACGAGCGGTTCCAGGCCGAACGCCCGCCTTAAGCCCCCCCACCACGACAAGGTGGCCCACACGTGGGGGGGCGAACGGCAGCGATCGTGCCTTGCACTCCGGCATGCAAGTTGCGATTATGTTCGAACTCGACTATGAAGTGAGTGAGTCGGTTATGTTTTGGCAAAATGATGGGATGACGCGCTGAGTATGGTAGTTGAAAATTTGTTAGCCTCCCTCCCACGCGTATCAAACCGTCCGAATCTAGAAACGGAGATAGGGGCAGCATATTGCTCGCGGAACCGATTATGCCGTTTATACGTAAGGATTTCAATTCATTTGAAAAAGCCTCGCCTTGCACGTGTACACACAGTGCGCGGAGCGCAGCTTGAATTTCACCTGCTGAGATTAATTGGCTCGTGCAGGTGTATTTCGACTTGTGGTGCTCAGAAATCCTGAGACAGTAAGCGATAATTCTACATATCAGGTTAAAGTCTGAGAATTTATTGAGCAATTTGTTTATGGGGCAATTCAGTGCTGCAACTGTTACGTGAACATTTTTGACTTGCTCAGGTATATCAGCCTCCAGAGGTTGAGAGTTTGAAGGGGGCCAAGATGATTCGCAATGCTGCAAAAACTCAGGGCCGTGCCACCACAAGAATGACGATAGGTGCGCTTGAGGCTCCGCCCCGCGAGACAGAATGTCAGCAGGGTTGTTTTCAGAAGATACATGCCGCCAATCGGCGATGTTGTTCGTACGCTGGATTTCTCCTACTCTGTTGGCCACAAAGACGGACCATTTGCGGGAACAGGAAGAAATCCAATGTAGCGCAATTGTGGAATCCGACCACATGAATGAACGTATCTGGGAAATGTCTATTGAAGAGCGGACCTTCTCATAAAGTTGAGCCAGTAACAGCGCAGAGCATAACTCAAGACGCGGAAGCGAGACCGCTTTTAAAGGCGCGACGCGAGACCGTGAGCATAGGAGCTCGGTACGATACGTGCGGTCGCTGACTTCGCTGCGTATGTATATGCACGCGCCATACGCTATCTGACTGGCGTCGCAGAACCCGTGAATTTGAAGGCGTTTGGAACTCGTGGTGAATTTTGTGAGTCGCGGTATTTGGAGATCATTGAGGATACTCAACTGATTTTTGAGTCGCGACCATTTAGTGTGAGTGGTAGAGGGAATTGTTTCGTCCCAACTTACATTTAGTTGCCACAGCTCTTGAATAATGAGCTTGCCGATCACTATGACGGGACCCAGCAGCCCGAGAGGGTCAAAAAGCCGGGATACTTCCGATAAAATTGGGTGCTTCGTAACAGAGTTGGAAAGTGAGTTTGCCGTGACATAAAAATGAAAGTAGTCGCTTGTGGGATTCCATCTGATGCCTAGGATGCGGGACTCCGGATTTTTGTCGAATTCAATTAACCTACAGGTATCGTGTCGGTCAGGTTCAAGAAGCTCGGACGAGTTTGATGCCCATTTGCTTAACTGGAACGATCCCTTTTGAAGCAAGGCTATGATTTCGTCCCTAATTAATTTCGCGTGAGCCAAAGAATCTGCTCCGGACAAACAGTCATCGACGTAAAAGTCGTTGATAACGTGTTTGGACCCGGTGGGAAAATTATGTGCCTCCAACTCAGCGAGATATGTAAGGCATCTTGTAGCCAGAAAGGAAGCGGAAGAAGTGCCGTAGGTTACGGTTGTGAGTTCGTATACGAGCACCTTTCCCAATGGGTCTGCCCGCCAAAAAATTCTTTGCAGATGCCGCTGCGATTCGTGGACTACAATCTGTCTGTACATTTTTATGATGTCTGCACAGAAGACGTAGCGCAGGGTACGAAATCGTATTACGATAGAAATTAAGTCTTGTTGGACTACCGGACCGATTAAAAGAGCGTCATTCAAGGAACTGCCTAATGATCCCTTGCACGATCCATCAAAAACTACCCGTATCTTCGCGGCTTCGTTCGTACCCTTTATGACAGGGTGATGCGGGAGGTAATAGGGCGGAATGCCATTTGTTTCGGTTGCCTCGCGCATTGGCTTCATATGCCCTGCGGCATATTCATTCATGAATTGTATATAGGATGCCTTTAATTTAGGATCGCGATTTAGCCTCTTTTTCACGCTATAAAAACGACGGAGGGCTGTGGCGCGCGAATCTCCGATCGAGTTTAATTTTTCGTGTATGACCGGAAGCTTGACGACGAAACGCCCACTTGCATCGCGTGCTACATTCTTTGCGAAATGCTCAGAGCACCGGCGCTCGTCTGGTGATTGCGGCTTGCTGAATAAGGTTTGTGCATCCTCTAAGTGCCAAAATTCTTTTAAGTGATTGTCGAGCTCCGCGTTGCTGACGGAAGCGTGAAAGTTATTGACGGATCGACATTTTGAATGATTCATGGGATACCTGCCTGCTAGTACCCACCCCAGACGCGTCTTGTGAAGCATCGGACAGTTCTCGAGCGACTTAATCTGGCCCGTGGGCCAGATGCGTGCATAATAATTGCCAAAACAAATCGGCGCCAATCAACAGATCAATTTCCGAGGATACGTGAAATTGCGGATCGGCTAGTTTTACGTTGTGTGGTATTGCAATGTTCTTGCGATTTATCATTAACGCAGGTAACTTGCTTGTGATTTGGTCGGTAACTATGCATTCGATGGGAGTCGCGAAGGAATTTACGCGCGATTGAATGGTCAATGTCGCAACGTGATGCGCGGTTGAAGATACCTGATTTATACCTTTTATGGAGACATTCAGCGGGCGCGATTTTAGTTTTAATGTTTCAAAGAATTTTCTGGTAATAAAATTGGCTTGTGAGCCACAATCAAGTAGCGCGCGACATGTTTTGGCTGAACCTTGGCGGTCGACGGCGTATATGACGGCCGTTGAAAGTAACACGTCGCCATTACAATTCTGCACGGCGCTATGTGTTGCTACCGTGGTTTGGGACGCGGTTTCTTCGGAATTCGATTTTTTTGAAACGACGTCCTTGCTGACATCTTTAGAGGTCTCTAAATGAAGAAGAGTGTTGTGCTTGCTGTCGCACGTTTGACAAGAGCGTGAATTGCATTGCGCGGAAGTGTGACTCGCTGCGCGCAGGCAATTGACGCACAATTTGCATTTTCGGACTTCTTTTATCCGCTTGTCTACTGACAACTTTAAAAAGTCTGCGCAATAGTAAATGGGATGATCTCCACGGCAATAGGCGCACTTAGCATTTATTGTGGCCGCGTGAGCTGCTGATTGTCTCTTTGAATCTAGCCGGGAGGTAGCAGTGGCTGGGGCAAGTTTTTGATTGCCCTCTAGGCCTGGCACCGCCGAGTGATGAAACTTAAAAATTGTTTCAAAGAAGGCAATGAGGAGTCTTTGAGGGAATGATGCCATTCACGAGCTGTGAGAGCGTCCAATTTTGAGGTTAAAATGCACACGAGAATGTCGTCCCATTTGTCGGCCGAGACTTTCAGGGAAATAAGCGCGCGAAGATGCTTCGAGGTATTGTCCGCCATCTTTCGCAGCTCGAGAACGTTTTCCTTTGGCATTAACGGTATCTCTAAGATTTTTCGAATGTGAATGTATACGATTACGCGAGTGTTGTCGTAACGTTCCCTCAAAAGATTCCATGCTTCTTCATAATTCTTATCGGATATTTCCAATGACTGAATAACACTGGCCGCGTCGCCAGAGACCGCCCCTCTTAGATACTGAAATTTTTGCATAGTAGTTAACGAGATATTATTATTGATAACTGATTTGAACATGTTTGCAAAAGGCAACCACTCGTCATACTTTCCATTAAAAGAGGGTAGCTCTAACTTCGGCAGCCGTATCTGTGCGACGGGATCGGATGCACCCGATCGGCTCGCATCGAAAGAAGAACTCGACGCGTCTGCGTCATTGGAGGAGCGCTGGCTTGCGATGCTGCGTAACTTAGCGGCGATCGAGTAATATGTACTCTCGAAGCTATCTCTATCCTTATCGCTTTCATCTAGCATCTCTATTTGGGATTGAAGTGTACCATAAGTCACCCAGTATTCTGATAAACGCGATTTGCGCTCCTCCAATTGTGCAAGAGCGTCTGGTGTGATCTCGGTGATTGAATCCGCGAAGCCTTTAGAGTGCTTCGCTGTTTGCGCAAAACTGAAATATCGGGCGACGGCATTGTGAGACTGAGGCAACAAACCGCACGAGTATATGCTGAATCCTGATCGACGGAAAATGTAATCAGTTACCTCGGGATCAGCCTCGCGTTTCGTATCGGCGCCGCTCGATGAGAAGGGGTGAGGGGGGGACTGCCGATGAACGCTGAATCTCGGCGGACGATGATGCTCGTGCGCATGCCCTTGCTGGTAGGCTGCCCCGATGGTATGCCCTGGAACCCGGCGAAAGGCTGGCACCCGGCGACAGGCTGGAACCCGACGAGAAACTGGCGCTCGGCGACGGGCTGAAAGCCGGCGACAGGCTGGCTTGGCTGCTCGTCCAGAGGTTGCGTGATGACAGAATAGCGCTCCTCTATCAGGATAGTTTTGGGCAGAATAAGACATAAAACACTTCAAACAAACTTAAAGTTTATTGCTATCGACACACATTGTACTCGTGCCGTTCTGGCGTATAAGAAGGAAGTAAGTAAGGGCCCCTATATCGGTAAAGAATATAAACGTAAACTGAACCTAGATGGTCAAACTAAAAGGAATAAACAGTCAGGCCTAAAACGCAGGCGCGATGAGTTTTAGAGAACACAAAGACATTTTAATATATTGGCTATCTATCACGTGAGAATACGTCTGGCTGGCGTAATTCCCCGATGCGTGTCACTACGTGACGATTGTGAAGTTCGACGTGTATTTGCCACGAATGTGTAGCTGAAATGGCCGCCCTTGGGTTGCTGTGGCGATTGCCGAATGTGCCGGAAGTCTTGTTGCGCACGAAACGTGCGGACTCGTCTCTCTGATGGCAATGTTCGATGTCGGTGTGGCTGTCGGAACGCTCGTGGGGCGTATCCGTAGGACTGCTTGTGGCGCAATCCGGCTCGAAGGACCAACTCGATGTACGAAATAATTCGCTTCCTCGCGTGCGAGATACTTATGGATCTCGCGGCGTGGTCGTGGAAATTGGCTTCCACTAATTTAATTTCTGTTAGCAACACTTTATTTCACGTGAATACAACAGAGAGATAGAACCGGCGACATTCGTGGTTGGTGTCGAACTGCAGGATCGTGCGCGTCGCTGACGCAAGAGGGGAACAACGGAAAAACAAGCGAAAAAATGGGGGGTGAGGGCCCAGCGGCCGTTGCCGTGCGAGCGCGGAAATAAACGAAGACGCGCGGACGCCTGCAGGTTTGGCGCGAATATTTAAGGCAATCTCGCTCGTGCGATGCGTGAATCGTACAGTTATAGATGTTTGAAATTTCGCGGAATCCGTACATGAACACTTTTTAATTATACTGGGTGTTTCAAAAGTGATGCTACAAAATGTAATGGTGAAATGTACACATTAGTATAAGCAAAAAGTCCTAATATTAATTTTTTTTTTAGAAATGTCTCTGGTTGGTGTAACTATCGCAAATTTTCTTTAATAATGATTTCCAAAAATTTCACATGTCTATAACTCAAGAACTAATTAATCATATTTTAATGAATTATATATGAAATTTTGATTGAAAAAACTGAAGAACAATATAATATATAATTAGAAAAAAGTAAAGTAAAGTGTGCAAATTAGAAATTTGCACATGGCTTCCTCATAGAGGAAGGTTTAGGAGCGAAATCTAATTTTTTCGATGTTTCTTGAAAGTATGCAAATTAGAAATTTGTATATTGCTTCCTCATCATTGAAGCGTGCAAATTGGAAATTTGCACATTTTTTCCTCATCATTAAAGTAGGCAAATTAGAAATTTGCACATTGCCTCCATTGTTATGGCTTCCTGATAGAGGAAGCTTTAAGAGAGAAATCTAACTTTACTACGATGTTTCTTGAAAGTATTCAAATTATTCTTATTTCGCTCTTAAAGCTTCCTCTATGAGGAAGCCATAACAATGGAAGCAATGTGCAAATTTCTAATTAGAAAAAAA